AAAAAATTTTTTTAAATAAATTTTTTTTAATTAAATAATAATAATAAAAAATTAATGTTTATAATTTTTGTTTAATATATTTATTTGTTTAATTATTTATTTTTAATAATTCATGTAAATAATAAATAATTTATTATTCATAAATTATAATTATTTAAAAATGCAGCAGCTATTAGAAAATAGCATTCTGCAAAAAAATTCTATCATTGAAAAATCAATGATAGGCGAGAGAAATCCGCGTCTTTAAATAGATTCGCAGATGATAGACAAGAGATATCCGCGTCATTAAACGGATTCGCAGATATACTCTGGTCTTGCGACGAATCTCTCGATACTTATATACACTGGAGTCGCCGTGTCAGTTGCGAGAACGGTTACAGCGTCCCTCTTGCGGCAGAGATAAGAATTGTCACGTAAACTGCTAAATCGCTTTACCGACCGCCTTATTATACCCGCAGTTTACGTGACAATTCTTATCTCCGCCGAAAGAGGGACGCTGTAACCGTTCTCGCAACTGACACGGCGACTCCAGTGTATATAAGTATCGAGAGATTCGTCGCAGAGACCAGAGTATATCTGCGAATCCGTTTAATGACGCGGATATCTCTTGTCTATCATCTGCGAATCTATTTAAAGACGCGGATTTCTCTCGCCTATCATTGATTTTTCAATGATAGAATTTTTTTGCAGAATGCTATTTTCTAATAGCTGCTGCATTTTTAAATTATTATAATTTATAAATAATAAATTATTTATTATTTACATGAATTATTAAAAATAAATAATTAAACAAATAAATATATTAATCAAAAAAATTATAAACATTAATTTTTTATTATTATTATTTAATTAAAAAAATTTATTTAAAAAAATTTTTTCTCTTGGTTGCCAATATTCGGCCAATATTGGACCAATATTAACAACCGATGCTTGGCGAACCCGTTACATCCCAAGCATCAGCCCATATTGGTCCAATATTGGGAGCCTTTATTGGACCGATGATCGGTCTCTTGGCTCCCAATATTGGACCGATATTGGACCGGTGAGAAATTTCTCACTGGGTAGTGACTTTTGACATTTTATAGTTAAGTTTTAAAATCAATTTTTATCTATTATTTTGGGTATGTTTACATAATAATCTATTTATACAAGTAAATTAGCTCATTTTTAACAAATATCAATCAAGAAATTTGTATTATCTAAATTATTTCGATGATTTTTTATAAAATTTTCAGAACTGTCAATCTAACCTTTTTCTGTGCAACTCAACTTAAAAATTAAAATTCTAAGTTTAATTCAAAAAATTTTATAAAAGAATTCTCAAAAATGAATTCTATGGATATTAAACATCATTTTTACAAATTATGAGATTTTTTTAAAAATAGGCCGCAACGGCTTCAGGTAAAATATAATGGACTGACCCTATTGCAAAAAATAGTTCTTTAAAAATGAAACATAAAATCCTAATAAACTTATGGTTAAAAATTTCATTTAAGCGAGATATTTAAAAAATTAGACTCTATCCCATACACTTTCTATACAATGTTGGTGCACCAGTTAGCATCTATATTGAATTTCCCCCCACCGAATTTGAATAGCCTTATTCAGCCAAAGTATGAACTCAACGAATCATAATAGACCACGCTGAGTTTGCGCATAAAACTCATATGTACTCGTAACAAGAAGACTATATACAGGAGGAACAACTCGAGTATTTCCGATGGTCCCGATTTTAACGTACGACTGGGCGTACTACCCCGAGGCGCACTAGTGTTCTGCACATCCTAACACATGCATAACTGTGTATATTTTACATATATTCCATCTGACAGCTGTAACAGCTGCAAGTTTTTATTATCTCCTCCATATTGAATAATAAGTGTAAATATTAAGTGAACCTAATATTTTTAATACAAAAATTTCTAAAAAAAGTGAGAAGTGTATTTAACACTAGTGTTTGTAATTATGATTCGTCTTGATGAAAAGTGTTAATTTGAATAATAAAAGTTGTAATGGGATTTTCATAACCATTTTTTATCTTACAATAAAAAAAAGGGCATGTTATATTATAAATTATTATCGCTCCTATTATAATATATAATTTATTATATATTTATTATTGCTGCAATTATATTTATTTCTGTTATAGCATTGTATTTGAGGTTAACCATAACCTCCAAAAGAGGAATTTTTCCAACTATAAACTAACTTAACTTAAATTTTAAAAGGGATTTATAAATTATAAAAACTAATGAAGATGAAATCAAGCACAAATATTTCTGAAGATACAAACTCTACATATTTTCAAAATCAACTGTCACAGAACTTGCACATAACCAAGAAAATTGTAAACAAAACAAACACACATTATCTAAAGATACACAGATAGAGTTTATACAGTTATGCATGTGTTGGGATGTGCAGAAGACTAGTGCGCCTCGGGGTAGTACACCCAGTCGTACGTTAAAATCGGGACCACTGCTCTCTATGAATAAGAAGGCGAGTTGGTTTTTCTGTATATAGTCTTCTTTACGGAAGCGCCGACGCGCCACGAGGCATAAAGAGAGGAAACCTGTTTCTGCTAATGCGAATGTCGTTTTAGCTTGTGAAACATAGGAACACGTTCGATGGTTCGCTGGTTCGGTGGTTCGATGATGTGATTGTTGCTAAATAAAAAATTTAAAATAAGAAATAAAAATGAACCAAATTAATTTAAATTGACAATTTTAATGTAATAAAATATTTTTTAGGTATTATTTATAACAGATATTAATTACGAGGTAAATTAGGTGCTTTAAAAAAAATCATATTTTGAGGTTATAAAATGTGTTATGAAAAAGTAATGGAAAAAGGTCAACATTAGGCCTTAAATGTGATAACATTTTATAACCTCAAAATATATGATTTTTTTAAAGCACCTAATTTACCTCGTAATTAATATCTGTTATAAATAATACCTAAAAAATATTTTATTACATTAAAATTGTCAATTTAAATTAATTTGGTTCATTTTTATTTCTTATTTTAAATTTTTTATTTAGCAACAATCACATCATCGAACCACCGAACCAGCGAACCATCGAACGTGTTCCTATGTTTCACAAGCTAAAACGACATTCGCATTAGCAGAAACTCTTTATGCCTCGTGGCGCGTCGGCGCTTCCGTACTTCTTGGCTCGTAACAAGACGCAGTTGCCAGCCACTGTAAAAAAATCTGGTGTAAATTTACTATGTCCGACGTTGGAAAGTTTGGTCCAAGAAGACTATATACAGGAGAACCAACTCGCCTGCTTGTTCATAGAGAGCAGTGGTCCCGATTTTAACGTACGACTGGGTGTACTACCCCGAGGCGCACTAGTCTTCTGCACATCCCAACACATGCATAACTGTATAAACTCTATCTGTGTATCTTTAGATAATGTGTGTTTGTTTTGTTTACAATTTTCTTGGTTATGTGCAAGTTCTGTGACAGTTGATTTTGAAAATATGTAGAGTTTGTATCTTCAGAAATATTTGTGCTTGATTTCATCTTGATTAGTTTTTATAATTTATAAATCCCTTTTAAAATTTAAGTTAAGTTACCCAGTAAAAAAAAACTAATTCAAATGAATTAAAACGAATTAACATTTTTGGTAGGCTCCAATTCGTATTTGTCACAAAGCGGGATTCACTCAAGCTCTTTGTATATTCAATTGAATTTAATTCAATATGTACCAATCTGTCCAAACGAATTCGCATTCGAAAGAAATGGCCAAGGAATGCATTGAATTCGTGCTAACGAATTGAAAAAAAATTAAAGGCTCAAAACTTGTCCAGTGAATTGGTACGGATAGAAGGTTCGGAAGTTCAATACAGTTTCACGAATTCAGGAAAATTGCATCATGGCTCCAATTCGTATTTGTCACAAAGCGGGATTCACGAAAGCTCTTTGTGAATTCTTTTTAATTCATTTCAATTAGTTTTCGTTTACTGGGTAGTTTAGTTGGAAAAATTCCTCTTTTGGAGGTTATGGTTAACCTCAAATACAATGCTATAACAGAAATAAATATAATTGCAGCAATAATAAATATATAATAAATTATATATTATAATAGGAGCGATAATAATTTATAATATAACATGCCCTTTTTTTTATTGTAAGATAAAAAATGATTATGAAAATCCCATTACAACTTTTATTATTTAAATTAACACTCTTCATCAAGACGAATCATAATTAAAAACACTAGTGTTAAATACACTTCTCACTTTTTTTAGAAATTTTTGTATTAAAAATATTAAGTTCACTTAATATTTACACTTATTATTCAATATGAAGGAGATAATAAAAACTTGCAGCTGTTACAGCTGTCACATGGAATATATATAAAATATACACAGTTATGCATGTGTTGGGATGTGCAGAACACTAGTGCGCCTCGGGGTAGTACGCCCAGCCGTACGTTAAAATCGGGACCATCGGAAATACTCGAGTTGTTCCTCCTGTATATAGTCTTCTTGGTTTGGTCACTATCTCCGACGTGGTATTTTTACACGCCGACTGTAATCTACATAACCTGCAAATATTTTTTGAAATAATATTTTCAGTCGTAACTTTTTGTATTTATGAAATATAGCCCAAAACTTTTTGTAATATTATTATTTACTTATAAATTAGCATATAATTTCTATAAATGTACATTATATACACTTTTTTAGAGTTATTTATAAAAACTTGAAAATTTTTTGAAAATTTTAAAGGAATAAGAAAATTACATTCGCCATGTAATTGTACAGATTGTGCGACGTAATATTGAAGCGATGTTGTTCCATTATACCGTCGTGTCCTCCGGGTTGCCTGGACGTTGGGGTTCGAGAAGATGGGTCTGGTGTCGTTTTGGGATGCTCTGATAATGTGGAGACCTATCGGGGTCCTTGGCTCGGCACATCTTACAATAAGTGAGGGAAATTCGTGAAAGAGCGGGAGGCCAGCGTCGGTTCACAGAAGCGTGGATCAAGTTAATTGACCATCGCCCTGGGAACTGAACGGCTGAATCCGCTCCACGAATTCAAGTGCACGCCAAGGACGCTGATGGTAAGTTCATATCGTGTTAATTTATAAAGTTATACTTTTTCAATTATGTAAAATCACAAATATTAATTTGAATATTCATAGTTTTTTTTGTACGTGAAATTTCGTAGTGTGGCGATTTATGGTGGGCGGATTTAAATTGATAAAAGGCTGAGCATCTCGAGAGCGATCTAGACTTCGTCCCTTGATACCAGGTTGCTGAGGGTGGAGTGAGACTCCGTAAGAGTGGATAGGAGTGACTTTCACCTCATCAGCTGGAACCAGCGTGCGACTCGAGGGCGCGGCGGGGTTTTGGATGAAGCAACGGACGCTAACTGCTCGAGTTTTGCCTGATAAGTAAATTTTTATGTTATCATGTGCGAATGAATGGTTAAATATACGTCTTTCCCAGGGCGATTTTTTTGTTATACACAAATAGACCGATAGAATTATATATAAGGATAATACCCCTTGTATTATAATTGACAATCTGTGATCAACTCATTTCCAGATTTATTTACTGTGACTCGATATCTTATATATAAAATTGATTGTGTTTTTATCTAATTTTTAGTTGTATGTTTATTTTATATGTTTTCCTTATTTTAATTATAACGTTATTTATTTCTCATTTATGAAGATTTGATTTTGATAACTAGTCAATGCAAAAAAAATTAGTTTATGATTCAGTTTAACTTTTATTATAAAGTCTTATTTCCGTAAAGTATTAAAATTATTACAATATTACGTCAAAGTGTAGAAATACACGCAATGTAAAAATACCACGTCGGACATAGTGATCAAATTTTCCTACGTCGGACGTAGTAAATTTACACAAAACTATTAAATTACATAGTCGTATAATGTAAAATTATTAAAAATAGTAAAACTACTTTTGGAACGAAATAAATTTACTACGTACAACCTATAATTTTGATGTGTGAAATTACAAGTTTCGTGTTATTTTACACCAGATTTTTTTACAGTGAGCTTTTTAAAGAAAGATTATGTGACCAGGGCCGTAAAATAATTATAGTTCAGATCTGAACTATAATTTTATAAATATTATATATTACTATATAATATATATAATATATTACTATATTTTTTAATTTTTTACTTTTAATTCAAATATTATATTTTTAGAATGAGACTGTCTTAAGTTTAGTTCTTATTTTTGCTTTTATAATAACAATTTAATATTTTTGTTAATAATTTAATAATAATACTATTAAAAAAAATAATAAAAAAATAATATAATTTAAAAAAACCGCTGCCAAGTTGTACATTTTTATAATTTTAGTGTTCATTTCATGAACACTTTGCTTCCTCATAAAAATAATAATAATTGAAATATAAGAATTACTTTTTATAAAAGGGTTAAAACTCATTAAATCTTGGTCCAAAAAATGTGTTTTTATATATTCTATAAGATGGTAATAATAGTTTAATAATTACACATAAGTTAATAAACAAGAATGTTGAAAAAATGATATTTTCCACAATTTTTGATTTTTCAAATACCAATAATTTCATAATTTCTGCCCGAATCAGGTTCAAAAATAAGTCAATCGAAGCGTTTTTTAATGCTCTTCAAGTTGGTAATAATTTTTTGAAGTTACTTTTACATAATTTAAACAAAATTTTATAAAAGTCTTATTTTTCAAAATTTTAGATTTTTAAAAGTTTAATATCTCCGGTCAATATGGACGAAAATTGTTCAATTAGGGCTCAAAAGATGCGCCTGAAAAAACTCTACAAAACTAAATACGAAACAAAACTAAACTTCTACCTACAATTTAAAAAAAAATTGAGGCCTTTAGCTCTTTCTTGTTCTGAGATATTGAGGCAAATGTAATTTTAGTACACACACACACACACACACACACATCGGGACAAATTTTTAAAATCCGTTTTTTGGTCTTCGGAGGTCAAAATACGTCGAAATTTTTTTTTATTTATTTAGAACATTTATACGGGGAGTTCCTGTGCATATATAACACTGAGAAAACTGGAGTATTGGACTAAACATCTGGAGGGACAAATCGTTCATATTTGAGAGTTAGCTATTGAATAACAATCTAAATGTTCAAATACACCATTAACAGATATTCGTGCCATTTCTCTTGGAGGGAAAATGAGTTTATAACAGAGGGACAAATTAACCATCTTGAGAAATCCCTTCCTTATCCGGCGCAAAATAAATAAATATGGCAACCTAACCCCTAAATTAAATACATAAAATGTCAGAAAAATAATTTCGCGCGCATCAAATCGTACACATTTTCTGCGCAACTTTTAACCCTCAGATATAATGGGAGAGAATATACAAGTAGATTTCCATTATCAATTCAAAATTTATTTTAGAAGGACTATTTAACTCTCTTCATAAGCAAAGGAAACATTCACTTTTTGAACCTCCGAATTTGACACTCCAGTTCAAATACAACAATAAAAGTATGTAAAACAAAAAAAAAAAATAACAAAAATTTTTTTTTTTTTTTTTTAATGTAACTTTCATTTAATTTACTGTAAATAAAAATTATAGGACATTTGCGTCACATAATCAAATCGCTATAGGACATAGTACAAGCAGGGTTGCACAGTTGCGCGCAACTCAGAGTTTTTGACGTAAATTACATTAGTTTTTTACATTTGTAAGATACGTATTTTACCTCCCACCACAATAAAATGCATTGTGTTGAAAATTTTTGAGGTAATTTACGTACGTAATATACGTAAAAAACCTATGTAATTTACGTGACGTATATTACGTGTGCAACCCTGAGTACAAGTAGTCAAATTATGTGACGTGTACTATAATTATGTGACGGCTGGCACACTGTGGAGACGCCATTATTTTGGACTAAATCCTGAAAGCTACACGGAAAAAATTTTGGTGCACCGTTTGTACGTTAAGGTACATCCGTTGTGTTAGTAGCCGATTCAAATTTTATCCCTTAGGCCGCAGTCCCATGGCAGCGTTTTGCGTTGCGTTGTAATGAGAGAGAATGCAGCAAACGTATATTTGCATCTTTTTCTCTCCCATTACGACGCAACGCAAAACGCTGTCATGGGACTCCACCCTTAAGGCGGTTCCAGAATAGGTGCAAAAGGCAAGGTGGAAGTACAAGTGCAAGTGCGAACCAATGCTAATGTATAGGAATCGCACTTGCACTTGTACTTCCACCTTGCCTTTTGCACCTATTCTGGAACCGCCTTTAAACCGAGACATATTTCGTCCCTGTTTCGGTGCGTCAGTCGTGTTAATGCTGCGCAAGCGTTGAACTTTGAATGGAGTCTAACATTTGTCTCCAAATCTGGGACCAGTGCTATATTGTACATGCGCTGTCGCGTATATGATTTTGTTGAAAAAATGGCATTATTATTATCTTATTAACTATAATAATCTTCGTATTCTTTCATTCAGTCTGTCCAGAGCGTGTACATTCTGTCCGCAGTGAGAGAGAAAGGTTGATAGAGAGAAAGAGAGGTAAGTATCGCCTGTCCTTTTAGTTTAGAGTAGGAGCGAAAGAGAGGCGAATATTATTATTATATCTATATATATTAAGTTAGTCTTTCCTTATATACTCTGTTCACAGTTAGAGAGAAAGAGAGGGAGGGAGGTATTGTCTCTCCTCTTAGTTTAGAGTAGGAGCGAAAGAGAGACGAATAGTTAAGAAAGTAATTCCCACTTTTTGGGTTTAGAAGTGGGTACCATGTTTTCTCCATTTTCCGTGTCAGGTAGAAAGAGAGGAACAGAATTTGATAGGGGAAGGAAAAGTGGGGAATTTTACTTTTAAGCCAAAATACGAAATAGGCGTCTTATTTCCTTATTGGCTAATTATTTTTCTTTTTTCACTCACAGATAGATTAAGGAGTAAAAGAAAGGCAGATCGAGAACGAGGTATGAGTGAGAGGTATAAATTTTATCGTTGTTCCATAAACCAAATGGACAATTTTTCATCAATTTTTGACTCCCACCCCGCCTCCAGTTGTGAACAATCGCAAATATTTTAAAAAACTAATTCGTATAATTATTTAAGATTCAATTATCTTCGAACAATGGGTAAGGCTTTCTGAAGTGTACCGATGGTTTTTTAAGCCTGTTACTCGCTGTAAAAAAAAGGAGCGTGCAGTTTCACGGGCGGTTCCACTGCCGCGTTACATGCGTTGAATTGGTTTCAATTTGTTAGTTAATGCTTTATTTATTAAGCATTTGACACATAATTTCGAAAATTTTAATTAAAATTAAATTCAAAATGGCGGATTTTTTATAGTGTTAAGAATACTATCCTAAAATAATATTGCAAAATTCGAAGTAAAACAAAAATTATACATCCTTATTCTTCGCCATGTCAAAGATGTTTTTGTATGCGGATAAGCAATCGTATGATTTAAATGTTTTCTCATTTGCATTTTTTAAAAAAGACAAACAAAAATGTATTTGGTGTTGCTGATCAAAAATTAGATATCAAATTTTCAAAATTGAAAATGGGGGATCCAACATGGCGGAAAAGAAAATTTTTTTATTTTAATTTTTTTTTTCGTTTAATTTTTTTTTCGTCCACCATATTGTATCCGCCATTTTTAATTTTTAAAAAATTATTTCATTTTTGTAATCAGCGACCCCAAAACCCCCCGTAACGATTTTCAAGCAAATCAGATGATTTTTTTTTTAAATTTCAAAACTTATGAACAAAAATTAAAAATGCGTTTTTCTCAAAATGTCTTTTTTTGATCTGGAAAGAGTGATATCTCGAGTTCTTCTAAAGCAATTTTAAAAAATCAAACGGCTTTTGATTCAGCGTCATCATGCCTATAAGTGGAACCTCAAAAACTGGAAAATTTCCAACTCTCTTTATTTTATAAGGGAAATTCTGAATAAAAACACCTTTTTTTGCATATTTTAGAGAAAAAGTACTCTAAAAAAAGGGGGGGAAGAAAATTCCACTCTTTTGAGATTCCACACCTAAAGAAATATCTAACGAAGAGAATGCCACTTCGTTTTTGGTTTTATCTGTTATAGAAAGTTTGGAATCGATCTTACCACCAAAAATGGGCATTTTCGAAAATGGCGTATATCGCCGCCATTTTGAAATAAAAATGAAAAATTTTTTCTTACAAATTCTTAAATAAATTATTTTTTACATGTAAAAGAAATTTTTTAAATAAATGTCATAGTTATTTTAATAATATATACTAAAAAAGCCTTCTTTTTGCCTGTTTTGAACAGTCATTTATTTGTTCGACCGTATGAAAATAGCGATTTTTTTCCAAGGGCAAAAAAACAGTTGGTCCCATGCTATTTTGACCAAGGTAAAAAAGGCCGCCATTTTCATACAAGTCGAACAAGTGAATGACTTTTACTCCCTGTCGTCTGCTATCTGAAATCGACACTTTTGTGCATTAGAAATAAAAAATATCGTATGTAATACGGGAATAAAGGCAGCCAATTTGTTCACGATGATTTTTGTGACACGAGTGGAGGTCTCGGGGCGCCCTCGACCTCGACTCGTGTCACAAAAATCACCGTAAACAAATGGCTGCCTTTATACCCTTGTTGC